AATCTCTGGATTAACCTAATCTGCATTATCGTTTAACTTATTGCGGAAACACCGATTAACAAATTGCAGGTTTGTTGAATTTCCCAAAAAATTGAAATGTTGGTTAAATGTCGTCTACTGCAACTTACCTGAGGTCCAAGTTACCGTTCTGCAGTTAGATGAGTATAGTCCGCGGCGCTAGGTGCCAAGCATACCTTCATTTTACATGCGGAACAACTTACTCGCAGCGGCCGCTTGAAGCAACTTCGACTACATTTTTTTCATTGTGCACTTCTACAAATTTCCTTCTCCGCCTATTCTATTTCCACACCCTCCAAAACTCAATAACCACCGTTTTTGCGGGACAAAATGCAGGGACTAGGGTATATGAATGAGCCTGCATAAGCTTCTTTTTGCTGATAAATGTTCTGCAGAACTGTACACTTATATTGTAATTAACTAAATAAAATATGCAGTTTGGAAGAAATAGATCGTGCGGTTGTCAGGGTCGGTTGAGAGCAAAATATGTGGGTCAGTAGTCTGATTAGCGCCAGGGGAACTGGCTTCCAGGAAAGTAAAACTCCGTTACGTTCGGTTATATGCTAAGTTGCATTTAAGGCGGAGAAGTTAGGAACAACAGGGGCAGAACAGAAGCTGTCTTTGTGGTTCTTTGTGATCTCATGGACCGACTGCCGTGGAACGCAGTTGCAAAATGGCATACAGGGTTTTTCAAGCACTTTTCTTGTTACATTTTTGTCGATGTGAGGATAGAACCCTAATATCTGCGAGGCAAAAACTCCGTATGTTCATGTAAAAGGACAGGCGCGTTGGTGGGATAAATAAAAATTATAAGATATTAAATCGTAATTAAGGTCTAACTCTGCACGTGATGACTACTAGTCTTATGCACCAAACAAACACGTTTATGATGCAATATGTATTTCTCAGAAATTATATCGATTCATCAAATTAAAGTTACATGTCTGTACTACTGTATTCCGAATACTGGTTGAATGCACTGGTTCACCAGTGTGTGATTTTAATTTAAAAATAAGCATTAAGCGGGCTAAATTGGACAAAATAACCTTTTCCTACTGGAAAGTTAAAATTTTGGTTTCTGTAGGTCGGATAGATCAGAAAGTGAAAAAGGAAATGAGATACAGAAAAAGACAGATTTTTTTGGGTGGAAAGTTCTGTTCCAAGAAGTAATCTATAAGCCATTTAGCATGCCCTAGTTTCAAAGCACCCGTAATATTAAGACGAATGCCAGTATGCAATGACATAGGTAACTAATAATTAATCATCAATTTACTGATCCCCTTAGAAAGTTACGTAAATTCCCAGCAGTAAATACAAAAAATACATTTGCGAGCATGCGTTCACCTGGCCTGTACGTATTCCTCGTAATCAACTGCATAGAATATGCAGGTGATAAGACAAACTCATGTGGTTGTCAGACGTCAGCAATCTGATCAGTGTCATGGAAACTGGCC